GCGTCGTTCTTCCTCACCGCCGCTGCATGCTCGGCCATTCGCGTCTTGTCTTATCATCCATTATCAGTCAGCTGATTACCCGGAATTCGAACCCCTGATCTTTGGTCATTGACTGCAACATTACAACTGAGCTACGGGCCCGCTGGTTTTTTTGACTGTAAGCGGGAATGTGTTGAGAGAACGGGCTCACCGATTTGGCTAAGAAGCAGTATGTACCATTGTGCCCTGCATGGACAGTGGCGGAAGGATTAATGATATATACATATATATATGTTGATATCTATAGTGTTTATCATCTCCCGAAGGGGAAGTAGAAGAGAGGGGAATTCTTTAACGAAGTTATATTTATAGTTAAATTCCAAAAAAACACTTGATTCATCTTCATAGTGTTGGCATTACTCATCCTTGGGCCTTAACTTAGTGCGCCTCCCGGCCATCCTCGTATCGTAGCCATGCCCAGTGCGTGTGCACTCGTTCTCCCGTTGGCCATTGGTAGGTTGTGGCTTCTCCACTATTGACCAATGGCGGACTCGCGTCTCCTGTGTCCCTTTAGGTCTGACGTGAATAAAGTTACATTAGCGTTCTCATCGACCTTCCCCTTGTCAGACGGCGGACTGATCGCTTGATGATACTCTTCCGGGGCGCTCTGGGCCTCGCGGGCGCCTGCGCGGGTAAGCGTACCACACGGGTCATGTGGCTCCCGATGGCCGCCATTTCCTTCCTCCGTGAGCGTCGGCTCTCGGCCCTGCGTTACTTCTTCCGCGTGTCCTTTTTTCCCGTTTTGATCGGATATGAGCCATGTATGGGGCGCGTGGGAGGCGGGGTTTAACTCTGCGGCTCGGTTTAGTGCGCCCGTCGAGGACTAACTTTCGAGCACTAGTCTGGATATTTTCTCATTGGCTTTACCAATCACCCTCGCTTTCTCAAAGGCGAAATAGTGGTTCATATGCTGTACGTGACTATAAAGCAACGGCAGCTTGTCTTTACGGTCGATTGTAAGTTGGTGTTCGTGCAATCTTGTACCCAAGCGCTTGCCTGTTTTACTAATATACTCGGCATCGCTATTTTTGCATGGTATGTTGTAGACCACTGCTCATTTTGGTCACTGGTAGCGGGTCATTTGGCTTCATGGCTTGCTGATTGATTGTGGGTTCACGTCTATGAGCTGCGCCGATCCCAAAAGGTTTTAGGCTTTGCACCGTCGCCTCTGAAAAGTTTCTCATGTAGGAGTTTCCGCGTCAGAATTTTACTTTTTTCTTTACTCGACCCCGGAAGATGAGTCCTCTTGAGACACTTGTGGATGAATCTCTTCGGATAACGGTTGACTTTTTAGAGGCCTTGCAAATAAATAATTTCATTCTGCTTCCTATTCTCATCGTTGCAATGTGCTTGAACACATTGGAAGAGGTTTTCGATACAGCTGTGTTTGGGACCGACAAGGCGGTGGCTTCGGAAGTGGAGGATGTGTCTCGTTCTGAATGCCTTACGGTAGACCGTTTTCCAAATTTTTGACGTGGACGTCAAGGTAAAAACCATTGTCGCTCACAAAGTCAGTTGTACCAGAATACTCTTCCAAAGTTTTTAGACATACTGAAGTGACGACAGTGCGAATCAGGAGGAGATAAATCATTTGCATGCCCTCTGCATAGTCAACGGTTATCCGAAGTCCTTCATCCACAACTGCCTCGGGAAGCCTTAAGTGCATCGGTTGAGTGAATAAAAGTCAAAATTCTGACTAGCAATTTCCTATGTAAAAAAACTGTCTAGAAACGACGATGGATATCCTAAAAGCTTATGGGATAGGCGTGGCACTTAGACGTGAATCCACAATCAGACGACAAGGCATGAAGCCCAAAGATTCGCTGCCACTGACCGAGCAATCAGTAGTGGCCTACAGCATAGCGCATAAAAACACTCGAGTACAAGATTGCACGAGCAATAACTTACAATCAACCGCAAAAATAACTCTAGAGTCTACGGCCACATAAAGCAGCTTAAACACAGTTTATTGTTTGAGAAAGCAAGGGTGATCAGCATAGCCAATGCGAGGATGGCCAGGATGACGGGCATAGAATTCTTGCTATTTTTGATCCATTAGTCAACCGTCTGACGAGCAAACAACCGTAGCGTTGTTCACATGGGTCACATGGGGGACGCAGGAGACCGGAGCCCACTATTATTCGACAGTGCAGAGGCCACAAACAAGCGACAATGACCGCAAGGTGCATTAATTCAAGGCCCATGGAAGAGTAAGCCCATAACTTTTAAGATTAAACGTCAGAATAAATATAGCTCGCTCCAAAATCTTGCCCCTCATCAACTTCTTCTTCTTGCTCTTCCGGAGGATATCTGGACCTCTAATCTTGGCGCATATTACTGTTGATATGCGTGTTAAGTTAATGATAATATATAAACAGTACATACGGAGAGACACTCATCTAGAATGCTGAACTATGTGAAAGAAAAATAAAAATTTCTTAAAAATCCTGGAATTCAGTAGGCACAAAAATAGCCATAAATTAGAAAAAATTAATCTAAATTTTACTTTAAGTTAAATGGAGTGCCTTATCGCTTACTATTTACCAGACGAACTTTCGTTTTACCAATATATTTTCAACTTATTGCCGTTACTTAATCACAATAACTAACAGATAGTCCATAAATTCCTGCAGATTTTTTGAACATTGTCTGTGTTTTTAAGCTTTATTTCATGAACTTAGATTCTGCTCGATGTTCACCTTAAAAATATATATATTACATCCATTTACCGAACATGAGTCTTTAAATACTAGTTCTTATATAGATGGTCACGTGTGCCACTCTTAGGAATTCCTCAAAACAGCAAAAACAACGTCCGCCACAGATATCAGATATTGATATTGTTAAGATAATGAGGAAACCTTCTATAATAGGTAACCTCTTTAACAAACAATTTTATTGGACATTCAGCTGACGAATGTCGGTGCATGTTAACTATTTGTAATTTAACGTCAAATGAAAATGGAGAATTTTGACAAGTTTTCGAATTTATCTGAAAATTAAATCTAGAAATGGAGGAACTAACTTTTCCATTTATGCTAATTACTGTCATGTTCCGTTCTCTGCTTGCGAATGCGGAAAGAGGGGCCAATTATGTGTTAATGTTTTAATATAATTCTTATCTTCTTCTCTCTGCTCTGTTTCGTAATTCTGCGTAAGCGGAAATGATAGTGTTCAAAAAAGAGTATGTCTAAATGATTTTGATATAACAAGTTTCGTTATAACTTTCATCTTTGCGACAGTATATGCGCAGTTTTGCTTACGTCTAAGTTGTTGATGTGGTAACACTAAATGTGTTAAAACCTTTTAAATGCATTTTGTGGTAAAAAACATCGCACGTGAGTAAAAGTAGTTTTTTTAAAACTAAAATTGTTCCTTGTTTCTGAAAATAAATTTAATTCCTTAAACTTGGCTTCATTGCACTTGAGGAAGTTCGGACTATACTCTCCGGTTATAGAAGGCTTATATTTTAAACTTTTCTTACTTATTTTGG